TTAGCATTTCAGAAAAATAGTTATTGTGATTGTGTAGAATTCAGGCTAGAAGAAGTGAAATTGAATGGGGATTTAGCAGAAGTCTAGTCCAGTAGTTCAATTGCCGAGACCAGCTTTGTCATAGAAGCCCCAACCCAGGTGGCACTGAAGGAATTAAGAAACAAACAGAAAGATAGAACAGCAAAGTGGGACTTCAGGGAGCTACCAGCCTTCCGAACTGAGATCGTTAATTAGACGCTGACTCAGATATTTATTCTCTCTGAACAGGTGATTATTATCAACAGGCAGGTGTTCTGTGTTTTATCATAGAACCAAGATAAACTAGGCAGACAGCTGGTGTCTGCTCACCACGGATCAAAGACAACCCAAAAAGCGTTCTCCATGAGGGAGCCACAGGGGCAGGGTCACACATCCCGTGGTAAAGAACTAGTTTAACTGGTGTATGATATACATATATTGTTTACTACTTTAGAATGCCCCAAGCAGTTTTCCACCTGGGGGGCTGGCTCGGTTTTCCTCGCTGTCATTCTCAGTAAATAATATAATTCATCACACATGCTAGGACTTTTTCCCAGCATTCAATAATAATATTAGCTAACATTTAAGCACTTATGTGCCAGGCAGTGAAATCGGCATTTTGCATGCCTCAGTTTATGTCATTTTCCCTACAAACTTGTGGCAGGTATGTTCATTGGTATTTTACACTTTGGAAAACTGAGGTTATTGATGATTAATAATTTGCCTAAAATCACATGGATCACATGTAATGGAAATAATTGCAAATAATAGTCTTGATTATTTTGTTATGTTGCCTCCAAAAACATTTTGTATTGTGATGGCTGACATTTGGGCATTTGCTTGTGCCAGCTACTTTGCTAAATTGTGTTAGGTGGATTATGTTATCTAATCTAAATCATATGTGATGAGTACCTAATCGAGGGAAGGGCAGTGGGCAGGAAATGAAGGGGCTAGATTTGAGATTCAGGCAGAATTGGTGTGTCGTGGTGACTCAGCTTTGGGAGGATAAATCTGGGATGACTTCTAGTTTTCAAACTGGGGTAACTCGGTGGCATTTGTGACAACTGGGAAAAGGAGTAGAAGGAGGTTTGGACAGGAAAATTAAAAGTTTGTTTTTGACATGTGAAGTTTGAGGTATTAGTAAGACATCCAGGTGGAGATGTCCAGTAGGAATTTAGAATTGGGAGGCACGCAGGTCCTGTAGAGGCCAGACACAGGGATGATGAACATGCCAGATCTTTCTCTAAATGGAACATGGTGCCAGTGGTGTCATTAATAGTTCTTCATGCCAGGTGCAGTGGTTCATACCTGTAATCCCAGCACTTTGGAAGGCCAAGGTGGGCAGATCACCTGAAGTCAGGAGTTTGAAACTGAGGCAGGCGGATCACCTGAGGTCAAGAGTTTGAAACCAGCCTGGTCAACATGGTGGAAACCGTTTCTACCAAGAATACAAAAAATTAGCCAGGCCTGGTGATATGCGCCTGTAATCCCAGCTACTTGGGAGGCTGAGGCAGGAGAATCCCTTGAACCTGGGAGGCAGAGGTTGCAGTGACGGTGTGATCTCAGCTCACACTTAGCTTGGGGAACAAGAGTGGAACTTCATCTCAAAAAAACAAAATAGTTCTTCATTTATGTGTCTTATGTGGGGGTATGACTAAAGGGTAAGGGTGACTGCTCGAGCTGCCTTGCCAACTGCCTATTTTATTCTGTCTCTTGTTCCCATCCGTGCTCTTCTTGAGAATCTAAGGAAAAGATTCTCACTCTTGCTTTCCTTTGAGGCAGCTGCTGTCTTTTTACACAACTCTCTTTTAAGCAGTGGGACAAAGCTACTAGATACTTGAAGTATTTTCGATGTCCTTTTAATGGTTTATCACTGCTTCTGGTTATTGTCATAATTTATTTTAACTAATGTTATTTTTAACTAAAACACATACCCTCAGGCTACATAAGCAAGGAGTACTTATAAAGTAGTGCAATCTAAGCAATGAGTCTTAAAGGATAAAAATAGAAGCTTACATATTTGGCTGCAAATGAGAATAGACGTTATATGAAGTGTCTTGGAGAAGGTCCAAAATTTTGAAGAGAGGGAAGTGGTTCCCATCAAATAGTAAAATAATAATAATTCTTCTACATATGATGCTGGGCAATTGTCTTGTAGTTTTAGAAATAACTAATCTTTTCAGAAAATTTTGGATATTGTACGTTATTCAATGTCAGAGGTAGCCTACGTTTAGCATCTATTCTGCTTTAATGTTACCAAATTAATCTGAAGGAAACTTGTAGTTTAGCTTTTTTTCCCTTATCACACTCAGAGTAATCTCTAAATCCCTAAAAGCTCTGCCAGTCTGGAGCCCAGCTCCAGATTTAGAGCCTGTCACCTGTGTATCCATCAAAGCGCATCTTATGGAGTAGATGTTCCGAAAACAATTTCCATGTCAAAATGGTTTCTGTCCAAATGATTCATCACTACTTATCCACCCTGTAATTAGTAGTTAGTTTTGCCTTCTGATAGACATATTTACTGCAACATTGTGCTTTTAGTCTTGATGATTAAAGCCTTATATAATTTTATTTAAACATTCATGACTTTATTTTTCATCACAAAGGTTGTTTGTTCTACAGTGCTGTCATTTCTTTTTCTCCTCTTAAGACATTGTTAAAAACCTATCTACACAGCTATGTACAATTTCCATCAGAATTAAGACAAAGATTTAAAGAAAATGCCAGTAGTCTTTTGGCATCTGGATTATAGAAGGGGGTTCACTAGTGATTAATGCTTGGTATGAATTTGAGGGGTATATTTCTTGATATAGATTTGCTTGTACTTGGGTGGAGGTGAATTTGGACACTTGGGATAATGTAGCTTCCACCTCAGTGTTAACCACATCGTGAGAGAACATATTCCCCCTTGCTTGGATTCAGAGTGCTAGGGGTCGGATTCAGGTTTTGTCTTCTATTTGCTGCCTCTTCAACTGGATGACTGTGTTTCATCAGAGTCCCTAGAGTCTTGAGTCATACTGTTTATTTCCTACCCTAGACTCTGCTAGGGCTTCATCTGATGGTGGCCAAGTTGCTTCAGCTGATGTGGGCAGAACACCTCATTGTCAAAGCTTCCTTGAATATGCCCGATGATGCTCTGAAGGGAGGGAGATGTTCTTTGTCTAAAGAGAACACAAGCGCTATGAAAATACCAAGTTACAAATGGACTTTTATACATACTCTTCAGGGATATACTTCTCTCATTTCTTTAAGGATATATTTCTGTCATTTCAAACATCTTTTATTTCGTTCTTTTCTCTCACAGTTGAACCCAGAATTAACGACTTCCAATCCAGCAAGAATGTTGAGTTTTTAGTTTAACAAATGATTTTCATCTTAGGATTCACTGACCTTAAGTTTACAGGATGTGTTTTTTTATTTCTTATGACAGTGCTCTGATTTTCCTCTCCTCTCCCTGTTCCCAACCCCCTTTTATCCCCCCCTAGTGACAAAGGCAAAGACATCAATGTGGCCAGGTCTCACCTTCTGGCTGTCAGGGAGAGTCTGCTGCCAGAGGCATGTCTCCAAGTCCCAGTTCTTCATGGCCCCTTATTCTGCTCTCAGCCATGAGCTGTCTTGGTGGCTTTTTAGGACATACACTAACCTTTGTGCAGGGGGTCCTTGGGGGAGACTAAAAAGGACTGGGTAATACTTTATGGCACTCATGCTGGGCTCAGAAGCATGTATCTTTCCTGATATTAATAACCATAGTTTTGTAACCTATCAAATGTATCCCTAATGAAAATTCAGACCCAAAGGCTTGTGAACCTAAGGTTTCTAAGAGTTTTGATTTAAAAACTGCATTCATAGTTTTTAATACTATAGCAGATCTTCAGATAACATTGTTTCATTCAGCATCATTTTGTTACAATATTGATGAAAAAAAAAGATCTCAGCCAGGGCCACTGTCCATGTGGAATTTATATTTTGGGTTTTCTCTTGGTACATAGACTTTCTCCCACATCCCAAAGATGTACAAGTGAGGTTCACTGGCATGGCAATGAGCGTGGGTGTGTGAGTGCACCCTGCAATTGTATGCGTTTTGTCCAGGGCTAGTGCCCATCTTGTGGTCTGAGCCTCTGGGAGAGGATCTGGTCACCCATGACCCTAAACTGGAGTAAGTAAATAATTATCTTGTTTTTATTAATCTTTCTTAAATGTATGTACTGCTCACATTTATTTCAATGTTCAATATTAGAAGTGTTTTGACCATCAGTTCGAAGTTTTGTGATGTGTCTGTGATGAAAAATATGTCCTGGGAAATTAACTCTTGTTTATATGAATTAGCCTTGGGTAAAATTGGTTTCATTATTCATCATATCAATTTAAGTCACACTTTGCGAGAACCTATGACATTAGATAAGGACTGGAAGATGACAAACTTTTTTTCTTTGTTCTTTGTAAAAATTTTAGGCCACTTAAAACTTAACCATTTAACCACTTTAAACATGTTTACCATTTTAGGCCACTTAACCACTTTCAACGGTTATGCCCTGTAATCCTGTCAATTTTTACTTCTAGCTCCTTCTAAAAATGCTTTATTTCTTGTGTTTAAATTCATTAGGACTAATTTTAGTTTTAGAACTCTACAGTTTTATAGAACAGTGTTCTTAGCATCCAATACCTCTTGGCAAGTGATAGCATACATAATAGGACACATTATGATCATTGTAATTTTCAGAGTAAGATACTTGTTGATTTTTCCCAAGAACCCATATCTATCATTGTCGTGTGAATAATAGAAAATGTGCAATGTGATAAATCTTAGAGACCCTCTAGGGAAGATACAATAGCAAATAGAAGCGGCAGTTGTGCCTTTAAAATTTTTCCTTAAATGTTTAGCAAGTACTCAATATTTTACTCTCACTTAAAAAAGTGGAGGAAGGGAGAAGAGACTCTTCAACCATTTCTGTGTAACAGGAGTTGTTTCTCTCCAACACTAGGCATGCAAGAGGCCTCCATGAAGCTCACGGAGTCGCTGCATGAAGTCTATGAGCCAGATTGGTATGGGCGGGAAGATGTGAAAATGGTTGGCGAGGTAAGAGCTGGGGTGGCTTCCATGAGGCTCCCATGAGCCTTGCTCAGTCCACCTGTCCCCTAACCTGCTCTTCCCACTTCACAATCTTAATCATGAGGTGAGACAGTGAACCCAGAAGGCACTGTGCCGTTCTACTGCCAGATGATTCCAAAGTTAGAGTGAAAAGTGAAGATGGGTCAGGTGTGGTAGCTCACGCCTGTAATTCCAGCGCTTTGGTAGCCTGAGGTGGGCAGATCGTCTGTGGTCAGGAGTTCAAGACCAGCCTGGTCAACATGGTGAAACCTCGTCTCTACTAAAAATAAAAAAATTAGCTGGGCATGGTGGTGCATGCGTGTAATCCCAGCTACCCAGGAGGCTGAGGCAGGAGAATCGCTTGAACCCAGGAGGCAGAGGTAGCACTGAGCCAAGATCTGTTGAGCTGTTGCACTCCAGCCTGGGTAACAGAGCAAGACCTCATTTCAAAGAAGAAGAAAAGTGAAGATGGTCATAAAACCACTTGGGTAGATCGCTGTTTACAAGTCCTTTTTGCAAAATTACAATATCATCTTTCTGTCCTCACTACAAGTCTTAACAGCCCATTTCTAGCAGATCTGGATCACAGTGTGATTTGTGTCCTAACTCCACCCCTTCATCACAGTCCCCCTATTGATTATCCTTCCCCAAATGGAGGGACAGGAGTTCAGAAGAGCATCCATTCCACTTTAACATCAGCTAGTCCAGTCAGAGATCTTCACATCCTGAAGACAAGCACAAAGTCAGACTGTAAAAAGGAATTCGGCTTCAGGAAGCCTTTGGCCCTAGACATGTCTTAACACCTGAGATCAGGCTCCTGGCTGGGGGCTGTCTGGCTGATGGGAAGTGAGTAAGCAGGTTTTGCTTTGTGGAAAGCAGAATGGACCAGAGACTGAGTAGCTCTGTGTGACGTTGGACCAGTTCTTTAAACTTCTTGGGCTGGTAGTTTCCTCATCTACAAAATGAGAAAATAATTGTACCTACTGATAAGACATTGATTGCCTTTGAGTACACGTCCTTTACCTACTCAGTGTTTGGTACGTGTTATGAATACTGATGTGAGACAACTGTCAGTCACAGATTCTCTCACATCCAAGTTCTTTATTAAAACAAAGAGCAATTGTTTATCATGTCCTCTACTCCAGGTGAGTTATTGCAGCTCTTGAGGCACAGATGACCTAAACTCGATATAGCAGCCAGAGCTCAGGGGAAGATCTAATAGGTGATGCCCTGAATGTCTGTGCAGCCTTGGAAAACATGCGGTTAACAATGGAGTCCTAGGCTGCTCAGTGGCAATTCTGACATCCTGACATTGAGCTTTGTAATCTTCTTATAACTGAGATAATAACAGAGATTTATTTGTGAGGAAAGTGTTTGTTGGGTCTTTTAGATCTTTCAAAAACTTTCAGGATGTAGATTTGGCTAAAGCAGATTGCACACATTACTTTTAGATACAATTATTAAGTAATTGCATCTTCTCACATTTCTTCAATAAAAACACAGTATTCCAACATCATGTTGCTAAATACTTTGTCAATTTCTAAGTAGTAATATAACTAAAAATTGATGGCCAAAAAATTTTAAGGGAATAATAGAAACTTGTGTTAATAACTTTTCAGAACACCACATTACATTCTATGTATGGCAGAGGCCACTATTGGCATTTAGTTTTTAAGGAAATGGCTGTTCTCCTACCTTGGTTCTTGCAGCTGCCAGGATTTTTGATATCCTTGGTTGCAGATACAAGCATAGGCTCTTGTGATGATGAAAAAACTGAACACTGCATGTTCAGAGGGTCTACTCACATCAGCAGTTGAGCTTTTTTAAACAGTGGATTTAAATGTTTTGGTTTACATAAAATTCTTGAATTGAGATTTGTAACAATTAGGATTACTTTTCAAAGTGTGGTAAAGAAACAAAATCAAATTTAGGAAGAGGTCCGTGTGTGTGTGTGTGTGTGTGTGTGTGTGTGTGTGTGTGTGTGTGTG